GCGAGCACGTTTTTTTTTTTTTCCATTAGTTTTTGTATAAGGTTTTGGTTATATTTATTTTGTGCTATTTAAGGCGGACAGCCTTAATTTTTAATACGTATTCAGGGACAAGGTTCTTTTTAGGTCTTTATTCGTCCTCAGGACATTCAGGAATTATAGACTGTTTCAGTTTGAATGAGGTTTAAGGTGGAAGGAATTTTAAATAGATAATCTTTGATCTTCCAACCTCCATAGTTTGCAAGGTTTTCTTTAGAAATCCTTAAAATGATCCTTCTGCTGTTTGCAGTCAGTGTTCTTCTGCTACTATCAGGATGACCTCCTACAAACGAAAAATGACTTGTTTCTTTTAAAAACTTCCCTAGCTTCTGAAAGTGAATGCAAGGTTAGATTTCTCAGGACCTGGCACTATGAATCCTGCTATTTTGATAGATTTTGGTGTTACTGTTACACATTTGCAAGGAATAGAGAAACAATACTTCAAAATATTTGGAAAATTTATTTCCACTTAGGAAAATAAAAATCTCAGTTTTTGATAAATGGACAACCAAGAACCTAAGTAAATCCTTCCTTTTTCTTTGACCTAGTAGGATTAGGTTAGTAAGATAAAGAAAATTCTCCAGTCCAAATAATTTAAAATGTTTAATCTCATTCCATGAAGATTTGGGAATGGAATAGGCTATGTCTATTCCTGTAATTCAGTGAAAACAATAAGGAAACCCATTCATTTAAGAGCCCCACTGCCTCAAATTCATAAAATGCCCCTCGAAAACAAAAATAAAACTCAATGACCCTCATATACTAAGTGGAAAAAGTGGAACTCTCTCCCTAATTGAGAATAAAGTAGAAAGGAAGCCAACTTTTAAATGGTGCAACTATATGCCGGCATTGTTTTGGGTATTTTGTACTCATGATCTTACTTTTAAAATACTGGAGACTTGATAACCAAGATACTTTCATATGTGACTAGGGTCTATCTAACTGAGCATAATCATTCTGAAATGTCAGTTTGGCAATGCATACAAAAAGCGTTATAATTTTGTGTACCTTTTGGATTATGTCCAGTGATTTTTCTTCAATGAAATTCACCACACCATTGTTTATAGTGGGAAAAATGTTATGAAAAATTTGGTTAATTCAATTATAGTTTAATCATATAATAAACACATTATAGAGCAATAGTTAATTACATTAAAAGCTTTCAAAATATAAATTTTGAAGCAGGGTCTAAAGTAATAGTGTGAGCACATTTAAAAAATTATATCCACATGACTGACTTATATACACAAAACTGTAAACATGTGATTATTCCTGAATGGTGAAATAAGAATGTTTCTTGTTTCCTCTTTTGCTCATCTGTAATTTCTAATCTATTTCACAATGAACATGAATTTCTTTTCTTTTAAATAAAAACACTCCCAATTAATTATACTTTTTAATCATTTGGAAACATCTAAGCCAGACATTCCTTCTACTTCCTACTACTAGCTTTGAAAGAGAAAGCTAGTTTACAAATGGGGTATATAACAAATAAAATAAATGAGTTTTCTTGAAAATATGAGAAAAGAAAAAAAAGACCTGGCTAAAGACTACAAAAAATAAATAAATAAATAAATAAATAAAAGCAACTGAGGAGTCAAAAAAATATGAGAAAAGTAGCTTCAATATCTAAAAAAAACCCATTAAAAATATTCTTAATCTACAAAACACACATTTGTAATAGTTTTAACCCGTGACTAATAATGGTACAATATAATTGAAACATACTTTAAAAAAAAATTCTATTTTCATTCAGGGGGTGCATGTGGGGGTTTGTTAAAAAATAAAATTCCGTCAGTTACTCGCATGGTACTTAATTTTATTTTTTAACAAGTGAACCCTGAACATTTATCATAATACTATAAGAAAGGGTTTGGCAGTAGCTGGACACTGCTAGGGGGAGGGGGCGAACACATAACATCAATAAGGGTACCTGATCTCAAACCAAGTGAAATGGGGACCATAGGGAGGCCCAAACTTTACATGTATGATGACCACTTATCTACCTAATCCTGAATTGTACCTCACATCTTTTAAATTAATAAATAAGTAAACAAACAAATGTAAAAAAGAAGAAACAAAAACATACTGAAGTGGCCCGTATATAAATTCTGAACATTTCCTTATTTGATTTTTGTAAATTAAGCAGCTGAATTCTACTCCAAGAGTATAGAAAACATACAAATGAAATAACAACTCCAAATATCATTGATAGATTGCTTCATACAGTAATGCTGTTTTGAGAAGAGTGATTTTGACCCATTCGTTTACTCCATTGTAGATGACTAAGAGGAATATTGTGATTTACTAAGTTTCTTTATATATTTTGCCTGAATAAATCTAATAGAAGTACACTCCCTCAAAAATGCACCACCCAATAAGTAAATGTAGGACAGTTTCATGGACTTCTGTTCTCCCTTAAAGCATTATGATTTTCTCTTCTCTGCTGTTTCTTTAAGCTTTAATTGTTAGATTAATTTCCCCTTGTTTCAACATTTGTTTTCCTCCACTCTAATCTGTCTCCAGTTTCTACTTCCACATTCTCTGACAAATGGTTATTATATGTTCTGTCTCTTAAAATATTTTATGCTTCAATTTCTATAAATGCAAGATGTAAAATTGATCTTCAATATGTTTCTGATGCATAATTGTCATGGCTGACTTGAAATCGCATAGCAGATGGAATCCTTAAATTCCCAATCCATTATTTTCCAATTTTCAAGTAAAAGTGACTTCTTTATTTGCATCTGTAAAGACAAAAGGAAGCTTTTCTTTTGCCAGTTCATGCCACCCTGATTTACTAGTTGATAAAAGACATTTTTTATAAATTACATAATTGCTCCATGATGTTCAGAGTTAAGATTTGTCATTACAGTCTAGAATTATATCCTAATTTATTTTCATGATTGAAAAATGTATTGGTGTATTTCAGTATGGTTCTTACAAACTTGGGAAATCTATAGCTGGTTGACTTGCTCATAAAGGAAGACTATACATATATCAAAAGGGAGTTCAGACAGAAGAGTATGAATAGTTAAATGCAAATCCTTTCTCACTACTGAAAAAAAAAATGACCTTTACCAGTACATTAGTTACATTAGCAATTGCAAACCTGAATGTTCAGAAGTACCAGGAAAGTCATCTAAATGAGAGAAAAGAGCTTGTGTGTGTGTGTGTGTGTGTTTTAATATTGATACAATTGCCTATTAACTTTTAGCATCCATGTTGGGAGACAAAATGGAGTGGAAGAGACTGAAAAACTGGAAAATACAGATAAATTGCTGCTGGATCTTACTGCTATTCAATAGAAATTCATATATTTTACGACTTATCTTCAAATTTTAAATATGGCTGCTATATTGGTCTGCTAGGGCTGCCATAACACAATACTACAGACTAGGTGGCTTAAATGAAAGAAATACATTTTCTCACAGTTCTGGAGGCT